GAATTTGAGATTTTCATTTGTTGTCATTTGTAATCATCAAAATTAAACAAAATAAACATTTGAAATATATGAGTTTGTATGTAATGTATGAATATAATATACAAGTTTCACTTTTTAAATGGAATTACTGAAATAAATCTACTTTTTCATGATATTCTAATTTTATGACCAGCACCTGTATGTATCCCCTCTGGCCTGGGAACGTCTCGGAGTCCCCTAGGATGAGCTGGAAAGTGTCGCTGGGGAGAGCGGGGTCTCTCTGCTGCTGCCCACGCGACCCGATTCTGGATAAGCGGCAGAAAACGGACGAACGGACAATTTATATTGTTAGTCTAAATTATTACATTTAAAATTATAACTCTAATTCAAGCAGAATAGTCTATTGTCAAGATAATCATGGAGTGTGATTTATTTTCAACTCAAAATATCTTCAAACTAATGAAATATAAAGTTATTAGGGAGGAAAACCCATCTGAATAACAGCAGACTGACTGCTCGTAAAATATATACGACAGGTCTGGACCACTCGTGAATTTTGTTCGTGTCTGAAAAATATTGTAGAATACGAAAACATTGGTGAATGACACAAATTCTCCTAAATCACTCATACGCACAACTTAAGAACAAATCTGTGCATACGAACGGTTCTGGCATGAGGCCCATTGTGCTTACAGGTGGAAATAAATAATCAATTGCATTTGCTACAAATACAAGAAGAACAAAACATTAAAATAAATAAAAGCATAGTCAGTAGTTTAGATAATGTGAATATTAGTGTACAGATGTTTCATGATTTTGAAGACATGCACTCTCCTGTGTTTTTGTTTTTTTCTCTTACGTAGACAACATGTAGGAATTAACAACTTTTTAAAACTTTTTTAACCAAGCCATTGATTGAAAACAAGATGGGGAAGAATGACTTTGCTGAAGTTTCCACATTAAGTAAACCTGTGCTGTCAACTTTTTAAAAAGTTGTGTACCAAATACTAGACTCAGATTGTCACTTGACTCCTAGAGACGAGTGGCGTTGGCTCATTAGCGAATGAGAATGGGCTGTTTTATTCAGCTGACCTAAAGAAAGAGGCATTCAAGGTCAGTGAGTCCACAGTGACGCACATTGTAGTGTCACGAGGGTCTCACACCGACACACACACACACACACACACACACACACACACACACACACACACACACACACACACAAAAAAAAAAAAAAAAAACTAACAAAGTACAACTAGAAACACGTTGACTTGTTTGAAGTTTTATGAGAACACCAGCAAGTGTACATGTATGTGCAGAAGAATAGTAACACAAACAGAATCTGGTCAGATCAGAAAAAAAAGTCACAAATAAGAATGTTTTTGTTGTTGTTGTTTTTATTTTGAAAAGCAAAGGATCGTGAATACTGTCCCATGAGTAGCTGAGCGTCCAACAAAGAAAAAATTTGTTTGTTTTATTTTGTTTAGGTTTTGCTTTGTTTTAACAGAAGCAATTACTAGGTTTAATGTGGTTTACAATTTTTTGCTCGCATTTGTCTTAGTAAGAAAAAGCAATAAATAAATAAATAAATAAATAAATAAATCAGAAAGCTCATTAAAGTCATAACATAAAAATCTAAATTATTTGTTGACATAAAGTAGATATGGATTGTGGACAAATTAATTTTTTTTTGACAAAAAAGTTGAACTTTTGTTGGTTCTGTTTAGTTACATTTTGTCACTAAACTCTGATTTTTGCAASAAATCAGTGATACAGACATATATGRATAAATGCAGAGAAAAAAATCAAGGTAAAAACAAAACAAAAAGAAAGAAAATTGTTCATTGTTTGTTTCCATCTAAATTCTAATAGACATGATTACATAGACCTTCTTTGACAGTCTTGCAAAGTGATTAGTTTCTGTGATAAATTACCAGCTTGTGTGATTGACAGGATTCCCCAGGGCGTGTTTCACTTGTGTAGCACACAACCACACTGAATCACAAACAATGTAACATCCATGTGTGCTAACACTCGCACATTGTCAACTCAAGAGGCAATGAGGTTATAGTCTGGACTCAATTTGTAGTAAATTATRAAACAAAAGAACTTGCACACTGTTAGTCTCTGTAAAGTTGTGTGTGTGGGTTAGGAAATACTCATATGAAATACATCTGAGACTATAAAATTATTGTCAGGAATGCTTTGCAGTGCAACRAATAATTCATTTGTAAACAGAATAAAACAAACACACTAAAGTCTATTTATGCTCTTAAAAAAAGAAAACTAAAACAATTTATCTGTTTTTAAGAGTATAGTTTATTTTCCTAAACAATAAAACAACACATRTTTAATATTAGTTACTAAAATGCAAAACAACCAAAAAGTTCATTTCATGTCATGAAAAAAAAAATGTTGGAAATTCTTCCTACATTTTGCACAGCATTTCTTCTTATTTTTTTTTTCAGCTAAAGGCAGCTTTTGTTAGTTACACATTGAAATAAAAAGAATAAAATGAATGTCATGAAAAGTGTTGGACATAAAACCTGATGATACAATCAAAGGTCCTTCAATAAAGTATCATTTGAGACAACAAGGGGGAAATAAGAGGAACATGTGAAGTGGAAAATAAAAAGTGAAAAAGCCGTACTATTCCAAACAGAGATGAACCAAAGAGGAAGTTAATGCAAATCATCAAATACATATAATCTGTATATACAATTACACAACACTAATATACATGTACTTATAATMTGTTTACTCATTCATTCTTTT